ATCACATCTATAAATAAATATATAAATAATATATATTATATAATAATATATATATAGATAAAAAGTTATTCAATATTTTATATATCTTTAATACCCTGTACATGTAGGGTTCTCACTAGTATGATATTTACTTATTGTGACATTCCCAGCGCTAATAAAGATAATCAAATTTCGGTATTTATAGTACTCAAAGAAAACAAGTGTACAGTAAAATTTTAAATAGCCATTCTGTAGAGTTTATATTTATTAAAATTTTAATGTGTCATACATTTAAATCTCATGAATATTTTCTATGTAACCGCTGTTTTAAATTCTACTAATCCGTGTGAAAACCGTTGTTATCGCATAACGCGATTAGATTATATCAAGCGCGGTTCTAGGACTAATTTTTCGTCTGGGAACAGTAGATTTAAAATTAGGCTTTAACTGCAAATAATATTCCTCATTTCCTCCCCCTTCCCCACAACATTTTTTTAATAAAATTAAAATATTATTATTATTATAGTATATAGCTTAAAATATTCATATTAATTATAACAGATAGGTAATAAAGGTTTTAAATATAAAAAAAATAGAGTAATCCATAGTTTTGAACTAATTATGTATAATTATGTTTATTTAAATATATTTAAATTTAACCGTCAAAAAAGTTCAGACTGTTCAGACTAATTTTAAAAAAAAATAGTAAGCTAAATTTGAAACTGTATTCTTCTGTGTATCATGCTTGCAAACACTTCAAGGTCAGCAGTTGGATCTTTTAATAATTTCTCTGAGTTTTCAAAATCAATTGATAAAAGTGTAAGACTACCTAATCGTGAACTGTTCATAGTTGATCTTAAATATGTCTTAACACGGTGCATGCTGGAAAAACTAGCTGAAGACACAGGAATGACCATGACCAATTCAATTATTTTTTTTACATGGTCAAAAGTCTCACCGTCGTTGCTTATTTATTGATTTAAGTCAGATAATGTTAAATTATCCAAAAATAAAGATTTTTTAATCAGACGCTGGTTCTTCAATACTTTTCTAAAGTCATTAGTTGTATGTGATTGATACATATTACCTAATTAAACTAACAAATATGAATTTGGAAATTCATTTGATTTGGTGTCACTTGCATGGATACAATTCAATATTTCATTGTTTTGGGTAAATCAATAAATCATTTCATTATTCATGTTATCCAAAATCTGGAAAAAGATTCTTTTAAATTCATTTTCTATATCTTTAGAGGACATGTTTTGTTTTTCTTTTCTACTAGTACTAGCATCAAGTGTTGAATAAGTTAAACAGTTATCCAGTGTTGATGAAATTCTCTGTTCTCTTGTTGGATGTAGTGTATTTTTAGATTTAATATTCATTATTAATAATAATAATCATTATAATTTATCAAATGATGAAACATCTTATTTTTGTATAAAAATGACATTTTTAAAATAATAAAGACCAGAAATATTGGTATGGGCAGCTGCCCACCCTGCCATTACGCTAGAACCGCCACTGAGTAATATAGTCATACAATGTATCGTTTTTCGATAGCAATGGTTAATCGTTGCGTAAAGAAATACATTATATTTCCGCTCAATCTACCTAACTTCTCACTTATAGCAGTGGCCTACCTACGTGCAAAGTGTGTCCATTTTGTTTATTATATAATGATGATATTATATCTGTAAATTATAGAAGTGTTTTTTAATTAAAATTATAATTGTTGTTCGTATTTTGTTTAAAATTAATTCATTAAAACACAAGTACCTACATAATATCGAATTTAGAGATTTTTATAATCTCTCTTTTCCGATTATAATAAATATTATGTATATACAAAATATATACTAAATTAATTAGGATTCTGTAGCTATAATATTTTTAAATTACTTGGTTAATAATTTAAGTGTATATTATAATTATATATTCTTTAAACGTCTTATTTTCATTTGCAAAACTAGGTTATTATACTGATGATACAATCGTACCGTGTGGAAGCCCAAAACCAAGAAAAAAAGCTATGTTCTTCGTCGATGGAATATCTATTTGAAAATGATTTTGAAAAAGACTCAATAGCAAACATTTTAAATAAAGAGCAGGATCTTGTTAGGTCCAGGAAAATATTTAAGGGAAAACCACCAACGCCATTTTTGCCAGAAACAATACGAGAACAACTTCTTGATCGTTATAAATCTGGAAAATGCCAACAACAAATTAATGATTATAATGTATTTAATGAAATGTATACAAAACGGATTCCATATGAAAAGAACCTAAAGTGCGATTGGATCAGACCTAAACTACCAAATACATTAGAAGGTAAATGCGAACGTGGTATTGGCCAATATTTTTTGCAGCATGGAACTCGTGTGTACCAACATTTTCTTAAATATTTAGCACAAAAAACAAATGGCCAGGACGAAAAAAAAAATCCAGACAAAGATCAAAAACAATGGAAAAACTGTAAAATANTTGGTGTTGTCATTTTAAATTTCTGTCAACCTGATACCGCGATATCCCATTTTAATGTATAGGTGGTGGGAAAGTAATGCGGCACTCATCGTTAATATCATGGACTTGCGGGACGAGGTGTTTGAATTATATTCCACTGAACTCACTTTGCCCAAACGTATAAGTGCAGTATGATATCTCACTTAAGATTTTTGCGGAAATTAANTAGGTTGTGGGAAAGTAATGCAGCACTCATCGTTTATATCACGGTCTTGCGGGACGAGGTGTTTGAATTATATTCCACTGAACTCACTTTGCCCAAACGTATAAGTGGAGTATGATATCTCAATTAAGATTTTTGCGGAAATTAAAAAATGTCGACTCCAAGTATATATATGCACCAAATATTATATTTTATTACAAGAATAATAATTAATAATTAAAAATATAATTAATTTTATCTGTTGATTTTCTTTACACGTATGACTGCTATATACAACATTTAAAACTGCATGTTAATTTTATTATTGTCTGTAGTTTAATTTAGTGTGTATTAAATATACTGGGATTTGTTCTATTATTCATTTTAACGAAAACAAAAATAANCAAGAATAATAATTAATAATTAAAAATATAATTAATTTTATCTGTTAATTTTCTTTACACGTATGACTGCTATATACAACATTTAAAACTGCATGTAAATTGTATTATTGTTGGTTGTTGGTTTATGCAACTTATAGAACTTAAAAGTAAGATTTAACATTTTTTTTAGGAGATAACAAAACAGATTAAAGATTGATGTATTTCACAATATCTTAGTAATCGGTAATTTCATAGTGATGATTTACTCCACGAGTAAAAAAAAGGTTTTTGTGAAACTTTACCTAAAGGACACATTCCACACACAACATTATATGAGATATTAATATTTACGTAAAGAAAAAAAAGACTTAAGTAGTCAATTTTTTTTACATTCAACTTTTTAATTAAAGACATGATCGAAAAATGGCCTCTCTTTCCTTTCTTATCTTTATTTTAATTGTCGTAACTGCTTTTCAATTTTTTTTATTTAGATAAATGACAAATGTAATTCACTTATAAATTTATGAAGGGTGATTTACCGGCAAGGATCTACAACACTGCATATAAGTTTTTGAACAATTTTGTTTCTTAAACAAATATTTAGGCAATTGCGGATATGTGAAATAAGTTTACATTCAAAATACGTTCGTAAAAAATATGTGAGCTCCTAGTAGGTATCCTCGAAAATTAACAATATTTACCTTTCGCCTATGTGTTTAACTCACTTGTATACATTATACAATAACAAATATTAACTGCGGTTTTATTGTACGAACATCTGCTTTTGGTGTTTTTGAATTTTAAATTTATAGTTTTACGTTTTAAACGAAACTAATTATGTGTGTTGACGTTTTCAGTTGATGGGCAGGTTAATACCTATTTATAAAACTATGAAACATTCATTATTTTTTAATTAAACTACCTATAGTGTAAATTGGTATCACATACTGTGAACAATGTGTTCCTACGATCAACGAATAGTGTGCAAAATAAATAAAAATCTTTTGTTAACATCGTTGGTAAGTATTTTTGAAGTTTCTGACTTATTTTTTTTTATGAAATATATAAATTGTCAATCTGAAGACATTTCTACGATCTTCAAAAATATTTCCTTATACAATATCTTAATCTTCTCCTTTGCCTTCATCCGATCTTCTTAAAGGTCAGCTAACACCGTGCTAAATTTCTGCTCCAACCGATCTACCACATCGCGTTCATAAACTGCCATTACAAAATTTTAAATCACATCTAATCATCGCTTTTTCATTTTGCCTCACTACCTCTTTCTGAAACTATTTTTTCTGCTTTTGTCTACTATTGAAGCCACTTCTAAACTATTTCACATGTCTTCTGCCCTATCATCCCTTGTCAATCCAGTGACTTCTTTCATTTACCTAAGCATTATCAACTCTGTTACATTCATTCTCGGTTTATCATACAACACATTAAGTAATATTAAAATTTTTTTAATCTGATTTTTAAAAAGAGTTTTTGTCAAAACTAACAAGTTCTTGACAACAACTATAACACAACCCAAACTAAGATTAGGTTAATTATTTTTTAACAATTTTTGAAGTTTTGTAAAACATGATACTTTCGGAACGGATACTTAAATTTTAAACAGTTAATTTAATTTGTCTATAAGATATTATTAATTCTATGATATTGTACAATAATATACTATCGTATTAATTTAAACTGTGAGTCGTATCAATTATCGGTCATCAAATATAATTTATAGTTGGTGAAATAAGTAATAAAAATTAAAATTTTAACATATTTTAAAAATTGCTTTAAAATACCTCTAAATTATACAACTTAAGTTATAATTTTAAACACTGATCATATTTTATACTTTTAGTTATAAAGTAATAAAATACATTAAAAAAGACATCCTAAGATAATGAGAACGGATTAAGCCACTGGTATAGGTATTTTAATGTTAACCTGTAAACAACGATATGCCATCGTTGTTAACGAAAATAAGATCCTGAGCGAATATTTGTCGAATGTGTTGCTTCGATAAAAATTGATTTCATATTATGGTAAAACAACACATGCATCAAACATTTTCTCAAAACACTTGAAAAAATCAAAAATTGAACACCTTAAAATACCACCCCAACCAGATATCCTTTCAGGAAAAGTACAATCATTGTAAGTCAGAGCAAAATTGCTGCAGGTAAAAAAGTTGTCCACAGTAAAAAATTAAAAATTCTTTTCATCATCGTTACACTAATTCAATGCTCGTTTCACTTAGAATCTAAAACATAAGCTCGAAGTAGGCACTTTTGAATTATTAAAATATGCATCTATGTGTGCGTAACTATCACTTGTACAAACATTTACCTTGATTGTTTATAATATACAGGGTTATTATAAGTTATAATTTTACGGTTTTAATGGAATTAAAAATATGTTTATGCTGTTGATTATATTTAATTGATGGGCAGGTGAGTAACTATTATTAACAATTATGTAAATTCATATTATATTCATATTGTATTTATGTTGAACGTTTTAAATTTTTTTTTTTTTTTGTTATATATTTATTATTCAGAAAAATTGTAAAGACACTTAATTTGAAAAAGATTAAAATATGAAAAGTTTAGAGTTGATTTGAATATTCTATGATTACTGTATAATAAATAATGATAAAAAAAAAATCAACGAGGTGAGCGCGGCGTTTACTCAATAGCGAATGTAACGATGGGTTAAATTAAGTATAAATTCAAAATACAATATTACAATATTTTCACTTGTTCAATGTTTGAATAGATTATATACTGAAATAAAATCAATGATTTCACCTGAAGCGGTGTCCGCGACCCGGGTATCCCTGATGTAATTCCTGGTGTAGAGCTCTCCGCCAGGTTTTTATAGTAAAAAAAAATTTCGTTGTTGTTCTGTTTTTCGGACCTGTAATTCATACGACTCTGCCTGTCTTCGTAGACAACTGAAGTCCGGGGACCGTAACATGTACAGAATGATTTTGGATTAACTAAATCCATTTTTGCCCGAACTCGTCTGTAAATATTCAAAATTATATATAATAAACTAGTTGTTCCGCGGCCGGCGTTGCTCGTGCTAATTTTTATTATTATTATTGTACCCATATTCTTTTTTAGTTTTGGCCGTGTTAGAATTGAATGAAAACAAATATGTGGAAAGTGGGTAGTCCATCTGCGGTGGCCTAAATGTGTTCTATTGTGAAATTCGATTAATGTAAATAATAGTGATAATAAAAAGTATAATAGTTTTATTTTATAACGTGTCGGTGACTCGTTGACTGGCCAGTCTTTGTCTCAACGCATTAGTTCGACGGCGTTCATTGCGTTGCTCTTAACTTTCATCAGTACGTGTGATTGCAGCCTGGTTTCCTAAATTTTCATTTTCCGTCAATTGATCTTCTGCCGATCTATTTAACCGACGGTTCTGGACTAATTGTGAATTCCAAGTCCGTCGTCCAATATTTCCTCCTCGTCCACGAAGACGTTGCATTGTTTCATGTACGTAACTTTTTAGAAAAATCGATGTTATTTCAAATTAAAAAAATAATGAAATTATTATATTATTCGTCTTTTATTTTACACTTTGTTTAATATCCTAATCGCTTGAAATATCAGAAAAACGAAATCCTATGTAATTATCGTAACTTAATTTTTTATAATTTTTTGCGTAACTTAATTTAATGCACGTAAATTAATGCTCAATATTTACGCAAATGTGATATAAATGAATACATACACAAAATGAATGAATGACAGACGTTGTCCTGTATGATATTTCAAGCGATTAGGATAAATTCATTCAATTCGATCCAGCCGTTTAGTTGCATTATTGATAAATATTCCGACGAAACATGCAGCTAATTTAGCTATCCCGCCCAGCGGTGCCAATTTTCTATTGTTTTTTTACCCTATTTCTTTTTAGTTTTTGACCTTGTGAGTAATGAATCAAAAACTAGGTGGAAAGTGGGTAGTCAACCTTCGGCGGAATAAGTGTTGTATTATGATATTTTTTTCATGATTTTCATACGAAAAATAACGAAACCTCGATTTTTTTTAAATGAGGTTGAGGGTTGATGGATTTCAAAGGAAGTTATACCAAATCTTACTTATCGGGGAGTGGGAACGCTCGACAACGGGAAAGCGCGTGTAACGTATTATAGCTAATTGTCGATCGCAGACGGCACGGTGTTTGTTTTATACCCTTATGTGAACATTGGCCGACAATTTATATTAATATAAAGTTAATAATTCAGTTGTTAATCTTTATGTATAACAATGGATCGATATTTTGTCGGTGCTGCCTTAACTTGAATACCATCTAAATTTCAAACTTTTCCGGTAGATTTTTCAAAAATCGTCTTTCATAATTACCTTACGAATACACGGAAAAAAATCAGGCATATCGATCCGTCCGTTTTCAAGTTATAGCGTCGGCAAAAAAAAAAATTAATTTATAAAATTATTAAACTCAATTGTAATAACTCTTGGCGCCCTCTGATAAATCTTTATTTATTCTTTTTTTATCTGAATAAATATTTCAATTTTGGCACAAATTACGCGGAATATCTTACTAATTATTAATTTTTTTGTTTTTTAATTTCATCCGTATCATCAAGGTAACCCAAATCAACAAATAAAAAAAAAACCGCTGTACTAAAAATATCAATTACTTTGTGTCAGCGATCCTTGCAATGCCACCAATCGGGTTCAATTGTGAATCCAAACCATCCAGGACCCATTCAAAGACACATAAAAAATTTCGTCAAAATCAGTCCAGCCGTTTAGGAGGAGTTCAGTAACATACACACGTAGAGTAGAATTATATATAAAAAGATATTTATATTCAATACACGACATATTTCTCCGTGTTGATCCATTTTTTCGCTGTTGGCCGGGGGCCCCATTTTAACGATTAATTATGTCATATGGACAATTTTAAAGCTTGCTGTAGCTTTTTCAATTCGAAAAAACATTCCGGAACTCAAAAAATCAAAATAAATATTAAAAAAGGGTTTTTCCAAAATTGTTTGTAAAAACCTTCTCCTGGCAATTACGAAAAATTGAAAAAAATTTAAGCAAAATCGGCCCGGCTCAATTGATGAACTGTTGACATTTTGGGCTCCATTTATATATGTACTTGCTGAATTACCCGGCGTTGCCCGGAAAAAAATTCGTGACAAATTAGATAACGCCATGTATTACCATTTACCGTCTTAAATTCATAATTATCGATAATATACATAATAACCTAATATCTGTATATTTATTTTTATCGATAAACTTCTGGGAACAATTTCATTCTCGGAATCGTTATTCTTATCTACACGACGACGACGACGAACAAAACGGATAGGTAGCTGGAGACCCGCGGGCCGCCGTGCCGCACAATACGTATTGGCGGTGAATAATTATAATTGTTAATTACTCCACTAAAACGCAACATTTTTGAAAATCCCTCCTTATTGCGCGGTGAAAACACGAGAAGAACCTGTGTTCCAAATTTCAAGTCCGTACGTTACGTAGTTTTTGAGATACAGCGATCGGTCAGTCAGGGGTATTTGGATTTTATACGTATAGATAGATACGCAATTGTAAAAATGAATAATATCAAATTTCGTGTAAATATACCAACCGATACATTTTTACATTACTTACATTATAATTGCCCTTTGGCCGTCATATCATAGAAGTCGACTTATAACAAATATTTAATATCAATGCAATTATTATCAAATTAAAATATTTGAAAAAAATAATTTATCAGGTTAATGGTTGTTTTAATTGTCGGTTGTCTTATGTTTAATTTATACTAGAAAGGACTATTATTCGCGACTATTTACCTACAGGCCATAACTATCAAAATATATGTGTGTGTGTGTGTGTGTGTACAATTTATATTGCGTATTATTTAATATTCAAGAAATAGTTTAATTCTATAATGATACAATGATGTTTTAAACTCGCAGTTGTTTTAGTAGGTAACGAAAGGTCACAAATTTGTATTAAATTGTTTCGCATGTTTATATACTATCACGTGCAATATACGTACATTTAATGGACCCTCAATAAAAATACATATATTGAATGTAATGCTTTATATTATAATTTTATATTTTGTACATGCTCCTGGGTGGATCTAATCTTTAATCCAGCCCTGTTCGTGAGAATCCATGTTTACGGGCTGTTCCACGAAGATGTACTTTTTGATTATCCCCGGAGATAATATATATGATCAAATCCATTGTCTTTTTGTATTCATAAACATGAGGAGTACAAATACTTATTTTAAAATCGTTTTTTTTTTTTTTTGGTTTTGTAGTAAACGATTTAAAAAAAAATAAGTTTAATACAATTATTAGCGGGAAATATTAATTAGCCATTCTGTAGAGTTTATTTTTTGAAAATTTTAACGTATTGCACATTTATATCCAATGCAAAATTTTCTATGTAACCGCCGTTTTAAATTCTACTAATCCGTATGAAAACCATTGTTATCACATAACGCGATTAGGTTATACGGCCGTACAGTGAATCGTTTCTCGGCAGCAAAGGTTCATCGTTGCCTACAGATAAACATTAAATTTCCCCTCTATCTACCTAACTTTTCCCTTACAGCAGTGGCCTACCCCCCCGTAAAGTATGTCCGTTTCTTTTATTATATAATGATGGTATTATATCTGTAAATTATAGAAGTGTTTTTTAATTAAAATTATAATTGTTGTTCGTATTTTGTTTAAAAATAAATCATCGCGAATTAAATACCTATCGAATGTCGAATTTTAAATTTTTATAATCTCCCATTTCCCATTACAATACATATTATGTATATACTAAATAAATATTCGTCGGCTGTAATATGTTAAAATTACGTGGATAATAATTTAAGCGCATATTATAATTATATATTCTTTAAACGTCTTATTTTCTTTTGCAAAACTAGGTTATTATACTGATGATACAATCGTACCGTGTGGAAGCCCAACACCGTGAAAAAAAGTTATGTTCTTCGTTGACGGAATACCTAATTGAAAATGATTTTGATAAAGACAGAATTGCATACATTTTCAATGAACAGGAAATTCTTATATGGCTGAGGAAAACGGTGGGAATACCACCAAAGCCGTTTTTGGTAGAGACGCTACACGTACAACTTGACGACCGTTATAAATCTGGAAAATGCCACAAACAAATTAACGATTATAATGTATTTAACGAAATGTATACAAAACGGATTCCATATGAAAAGAACCTAAAGTGCGATTGGATCAGACCTAAGTTACCATATACATTAAACGTTCTATGCAAACGTGGTATTGGGCAATATTTATTGCAGCACGGAACTCGTGTGTACCACCATTTTCTTAAATATTTAGCGCGACATTCGAATAACATGAACGAAAAAGAGATTCCAAAAAAAGATCAAAAACACTGGATAAACTATAAAATATGGATAGAACAGTTGTCGAAATTTCCGGTTGTAGGGACAAATTTTATGCTAATGGGAGAACAATATATCAATGCGTACTACTATTTGAAGGATTGCGATTCTATTGTACACGTTTATAATGCCTATTATGATTTTTATATGGAAAAATATAAAATCATTCATCCTGTAGATAAATATCGTTATCATAGGCATAGTTGTGATTTGTTCCGGCGTCTAAATTCTGAACATAAATTCTTGGATAAACTTTTACATTAAATCAATTTTCATATTCTGCCAACCCGATAACGCGATGTTCCATTTTAAAGTATAGGTAGTGGGAAAGTAATGCAGCATTCATTGTTTATATCGTGGTCTTGTGGCGCGAGGTTTTTGAACTGTGCTCCACTGCTCTCCCTTTGCCCAATCTTATAAGTGGAGTTTGGTATTTCACCTAAGGTTTTCACGGAAATGAAAAAAGTCAACTCCAAATTTATACGCACAAAATATTTTATTTTATTACAAGAATAATAATTAATAATTTAAAATTTAGCTTACTTCATCAGTTGATTCTCTTTACAAGTACGACTTCCATATAAAATGTTTAATGCTACTTGTTAATTTTATCATTGTCGGTAGATAAATGAATTGTGTATACTGGGTTTTGTTCCATTATTGAGTTTGATAAAAAAAAAATAAACAATTTGAAACATAAGTTATGCATTTTTATTTCTTTATATTTGTCTATTGGTTCATTTTTTTAATACGATATCTTATTCTTCTTTTTTGTCTTCATCCTAACTACTTTAAGGTCAGCTACCCCCGTGCTAAATTTCCGCTTGAACTGATCTCCCACATCGCAATTAGGCGACGCACAGTGATCTGTGAATGAGATGCAGAGAGATGTGTGAGAATGAGGTGGTAAAAATGAGCCATTTAATATGTTCAAAAAATCAAGTTTATTAATTTGTTTGGCTATTGAAATATATAAAATCAAAAAAAAAAAAAAATGTTTAATAATTGTTGTCACATATTATGATAATACAAAAATATATTTGTTTTAAATTTAAGTCTTTTTAACGACTATGAATCATAAAAGAATCGATCGTTTTTTTTTTTTTTTTTGTGCAGTAAAAATTTACTCAAGTGTCCCTTTACTTAATGTATGCATTATGTAGAGGAAGTTCTCATCTATAAAAATATACTATTTTTTATTGCGTCCCGTTACATCTGCAACGCACAAAAGCCATATTATCATAAAAAAAAATTGTATTTTTTTTTAAAATTTTAACATTTGTATAGAAAATTAATTATCTGTCTATACAATTTAATAACATAATATGTAAAATTGTTTTTTAAAAGTGCTAGACGTGAAAGATTGTTTGTATGGGTAATCAGTTAAATAAAAGTAAATAAAGTTGTATTTGGAAATCCGGTATTACATTTAAACATATACGATGATAATTTCTATCGATGCAGTTATGATTAGATATATTATTATACCTTATAACGTTTTGCAGTGTTATAAATATGCACCTATGTGCAATGTACATTCATTTATATGACTACCTGTTGCAGTTTCATAAAGGTTGGTATTACGTTTTGTTACTGCAACGAATACGTACCACGACTTGTTATAAAGTGTACTAATATTTTGTCTTTAATGATGTTAATTATCACTGTTATACTTTGATGACGTACTTGCATTAATTATAAGTATTTAAACCAAAACCAATATTTCATAAAGTCTGTTTGATTTGAAAATTTAAAGTAACACCATTTACACTAGTAATTGGTAGATGACCAATGAGATCCTAGTAAAAAAAAAAAAAATAGATTTTTGAAAAATTTTAACGGCTTAGTTTTGCTATCTAAATTTCATTCTCAGACCACTGTGCGACGCTTGTCGGCACTGTCTATCGCCTATGTCTGTAACTTAATATAATATACATTTTAAAATAATCACGCGGTTAATTAATTGTGCTGTTCTATTACACGAATATCTGCCTTCAATTTGTTATAATTTGCAACGTGTTACAATTTGTAATTATAACGAGCCTAACCGCGAAATTCAAAATATGTTTGTGCAGTTATTATTTTTTTGATTAATGGGCAAGTTATTATTTATTTTCCAATTAAACTACATTCGTATTATATATAAAATATTTGAATAAAACTAGTGTGGATTGGTGTCGTGTGCTGAGATGAATGTGTACCTACGATCAACAAATAGTACGAAAAATGAAATTAAATCGTTTGTTAATAGCGTCGGTAAGCGTTTTTTGAATAATTTATTTATTGTTTTATACATGTATTGGCGAACGGTAGATAATTTTGCGATTTAATTTCTTTACACGTTATCATCTTCTTCTCCTTCGCCTTCATCCCGGAATCATCGTGAATCAAGTAGCTGCCAAGTATAGAATACTAATTTTTTAGAATCGCCCATTTCCAATTATAATATATATTAAGTGTATACTGAATATGTATTATATACATTAAGATTCGTCATCTATAATATTTTTAAATTACGTGGATTATAATTTAGGTGTATAATATAATTATATATTCTTTAAATGTCTTGTTTTCTTTTGCAAAACTAGGTTATTATACTGATGGTACAATTATACCGTGTGGAAGCCCAAAACGACGAAAAAAAGTTATGCACTTCGTTTACGGAATATATAATTGAAAACGATTTTAACAAGAACAGAATTACACACTTTTTCAATAAACAGCAAAAAGTTACTTGGCTCCAGAAAAAGACCGGAAAAAAACCACCCAAACCTTTTTTGGAAGAGACTCTACATGAACAACTTGTTAAGTATTATAAATCTCGAAAATGCCGCCAACAAATCAAAAGTTATTCTGCATTCAATCAGTTTTACACTAAAGTTAATCCATATAGAGAAGAAATAAAGTGTGATTGGATCAGGCCTAAATTACCAGATACGTTAGACTACATATGCGATCGTGGTATTGGGCAATATTTATTGCAACACGGAACTCTTGTGTACCACCAATTTCTGGAATATTTAGCACGACTTCCGAATACCAAGAAAGAAAAAAAGACTCCAAAAAAAGAAAAAAAATATTTGGTTAAATATAAAAAATGGATAGAAAAGACGTCGAAAATGCGGGTTGTCGGAAATAAGTTGATGTTATTAGGAGAACAATATATCAATGCATACTACTATATAATACATTGCGATAGAATCGTACACGATTATAATGCCTATTATGATTTTTATATGGAAAATTATAAAAACATTCATCCAAGAAAAAAAAATAATTATTATCGCCAGAGTTGTGATTTGTTCCGGCGGTTAAAGAAACCCGTTAGTCCAGTTACCAACTGATTAATCATGGAGAAGATATTTTGGATAGTTTAAAAAGGAAGAAGCTCTAAAATTAGATAATTCTAATCTATAACTATAGCTATTATTTATTTTTACTTTTATTTATGAAGGAGGGGGGGGTGAAAAAAATACTCAATTTTGATTTTTATATCGTAACATAAAAATTCGATAAATAGATGTAGTGTTAATTAAAATACATTTAAGTGTTTAAAATTTTGAATTTCTGTCAACCCGATAACGAGGTGTTGGTTTATCCATTTTAAATTATAGGTAGGAGAAAAGTAACGCACAGCAATCATCGTTTACATTATGGTCTTGCGGCGCGCGGTGTTTGAATTGTAATCCACTATTCTCCCTTTAACCAATCTCATAAGTGAAGTTTAGTATCTCACCGAAGGTTTTTGCAGGAATTAAAATGTCGACTCCAAATATATGTGCACAAAATATTATATTTTTTTTTTTTTGAACAATTTAATTGAAGTGATTAGATATTAATTCCAATGTTAGGTAGGTACTGCGAATTCCAGTGTGAGGTAATTATTATTTAGAAGAAAATAAACATGTTTAAGCTTGTTTACACTTGACTTATCGCTACCCTGGGTATATTCAATTGTAGAACTTTATGTATATAATTCTATGTAAAATTGCATGCACTTTAACTTGAGTTCAATATGTTGATCTTGAGTTCGGCGGATAACGAGTTGTACCTATAAAAAAAAAACGGAGGGAATATATTTGAAAAATTTATAAAACCGATCATTATTTTTTTATGTATATTGTATATACACATAAAGTATATACAATATATGTCATACATTATAATATAGCAAATATAGGATACTTATTGACATATATTTGATATTCAGTTTAAATACGTTTTTGCATATTCGTTAGTTAACATATACGTACAATGTCTTGGTGATAATTGAAAATGAATGTATTTGTTTGGATATTGATATAACTTCTCTACATTAATATTCTGATATCAAAAAAATAATTTATGCGCAATATATATTAGACATTTTTTACTTGCTATTAATTGTACATGTGATAATTAATATTTATTTGATATTTAAAAGTGTTCACATTTACAGCGTATCTATTTAATATCAGAAATGATATATTAAAAATTTGACTTGTTAACAACATCCATTGGGTATTTTGTAACTATATATATATAATATTTTTTTACCAATATTTACATTAAAACAAAAAATGGCTCTCAAGAATAAATTAATATTGTATTTACAATATGTATACATTTTTTCTAAAAAAATATATCAAAAAACTGATCTTCTGTACATTACAAATGGAATATTTTTTAATGATAAAATATTAAATACAATATATTATTATATTGTCACTCATAAAAATATGATATTTAAAATTGTACCTATANATTTAGAAGAAAATAAACATGTTTAAGCTTGTTTACACTTGACTTATCGCTATCCTGGGTAAAAATTTGACTTGTTAACAACATCCATTGGGTATTTTGTAACTATATATATATATATATATATATAATATTTTTTTACCAATATTTACATTAAAACGAAAAATGGCTCTCAAGAATAAATTAATATTGTATTTACAATATGTATACATTTTTCTAAAAAAATATATCAAAAAACTGATTTTCTGTGCATTACAAATAAAATATTTTTTAATGATAAAATATTAAATACAATATATTATTATATTGTCACACATAAAAATATGATATTTAAAATTGTACCTATAATAGACACTTTCCAAGTTGTTATAATAGAGGTACATTCTTAGGGTTGTTTTGTTTTTATTAATAATTATGTGGGCTACAGTATATTGGGTTGAATATGTACCTTCATGTTGGATAAGAAGAGATGGGATTGAAGTGGTATGCACGTGGCCAAACAATGACAGCAATTTAAAAAAATTTAGATCCAACCGTATACATCCTAACAAAAATGACTATACTTATTATAAATGTAGAGTCATCCCTAAAGATATGGGTAATTAATATCTATTAATTTATTAGAAAATATATGTCTAACTTTATTATTTTAATTTTTTTTTTTTTTTACTTAACCTAATCCTTATTAGCATCATTATCTGAAGCTCAAATAAAAGCTGAAAAAGTACAATTCACGTCAGATGTATCAGATGTAGACAAGTACAACATAAAGCATAAAAAAAAGAAAACATTAAACAGATCAGCTTTTGTTCAAAAAAAAAAAAGTTCTTTGCTGTCAGGTTGGAATTGCATTGATTATATATAAAAAATTGTATATAATTACTCGTATTTACTTTTAAAAATTGTATAATGTTTTGATTATAGAAAAAGTCAAATTATATTATAATTATATAATGTAATAACAATGAAAAAAAATTATTGTTTAGTTTCTTTAACAAATGTTGATGAAAAAGGTATAATATTAAAGAAGTCCCATGATAGGTTTATTTTATATGACATTGATGGTGCAAGTTCTGAAAGCAGTAAGTTATAATTTATATTCAAGATTAAATTTGTATCCAAATTCGGGACTGTGCTAAGCCGTTCCAAATTCAAACTATACAAGCATTCCATTCCATTACTCCCCGTATGCTAACATCCACACCTTGGTTTGTATCGAACTCCATACTGCACTCTGACCTAAAAATCGAATCAGTCGAACAATTAGCCACCAAACACTGCAAATCTTTCTATTCCCAACTACCTTCTCATAAAACTCCATTAATATTGCAAATCTCATCCATTACCCAGTTCTCAAATTCCACCCATGATGAATGTACTATTCTTTTAAATATTTGTATTAATTTTTTCATTTATAATTATTGACTTCTTATACATATGTATTATTTAAAGCTACATATTTAATATTAAATATTTTCACAGCAACTCTTATCGATGATAGTGATGTCGATAAGGATTATGTACCTATGAAAAAACAAGATGAACGAGGTGAAACCGAAATCTGACCTGATTTAGATTTGTATTATATTATTTTTAAACAGTTACCATTGTAACAATACATTTTAACCTAAAAAATGTGAATAACATAATAGTATAAATTGTTTATTGTAATTATTATTATAGATAATGATAATGGTGATAAAGAAGTATGTAATTACAGTATGGATGACATTCCGTCTATTAGATTTTCTGAAGGAAAAAACACGACCACAGCTGAAAATTTACAAAACAGTGTAGTAGGTGATAGTGGTCATAATAGTAATAATAATTAGCTATAAACAGAATATGAATAATAATAATTGTAATGTTTCGGATTTAAATACATCAAATAATAAGTATAACCGTGATGATACCCCTTCACAGTCTAAACCACTTCAATCTCAGCAAATACTACCATTTAGTTCTCCATTATTTATTGATAATGTATCTCATATTTTAATTAATTATTATTTTTGATTAAGTAGATTTTATTTGTTATCAGAGCTTGAAGTACGTCTCACTTTTTTGAAATTAACTCTTTTTAGTCACCTAATTAGAAAATAAGTCATTCTTGTCATTTATTAATCAAACTTGCATAAATTTAAACTATTTGCTAATATATTTATTAGTACATTTGTATTCATGAATACAAAACTGAGTTAGTTATTTTCGGTCACATTTATTTTTTTTTGTTCGTTTCAACTACTTCCAGCCATAGCTTGTTTTAAATTTAGTCATAAATCTAAGATATATTAGGTATTTTAATTTATTTTTTTTTTTTATTAATAATCACAAATTTACAAAATATTTATGATGATAATTTATTTTTTATCTGGCTTTTTCTTAGATTTTCGAAAACAACATTATTAAGCAATCACTTAGCTTTTTTACAGCTTATCAAGGAATGTTAATGTAACTCAAGGTATGATTGGAAACATAAAGTAGATTATTTTATTCATAATTAGCCGATTTCTAATAACGAGAATTTAATCAGTATGGAAGCGAAAATAAAATCGGATACTAATTTTCAAAAACAAGTTATATGTTATTGTTATTGTTATTTGTATGCAAATTAAATTGTATAACTAAACAAATTTAAATGTTTATAGGTGTGTGAGCTTGCAAGAATCGATGGTAAATCATTAAAAAATATGATATACAAAATTATAAAAGGAGTGTTTGACAATAAAATTTTAATTGCGTATACATACTACGGTCTGCGGAGCAAAGATAATTTTTCGTTGTTAGCTGTCAACAAGGCGATTTTTGGTAATAATATATTAATTAATTTATATCGGACTAGTTATAGAGTTATAATGTAATATTTGTTATTATCAAAAAATCTTTTGAACTATGGCGTGGATTATTATAATAAAATCGAAATTTTTTATAATATTAATATATAATTATACTGTATTTTAGGTATATATTTTATTTAAAATATAAATTACACATTATATGGACTAATGAAAAATAAATAAATAAATCATACCCTAATATATGTACACATTTTTATGTTTTTGACAGTCACCATTAGGTATGTAAAATTAATGAAACGATTGAACAGAAATAAAAATAAAAATAAAAAATGCATGAATACTGTATAATTATCATAATTTTAAATATTGAAATTATCACATAATGTGGGCTACCATTTATAGGCCCCCACATGAATTCCATATTCAGTGTGACCCATTGTATTTTTGAAGATTAAATTTAAAAATTACCAACTTCAAATTGTTTTCCATGTTTGTTGAATATTCAGTTCAGTGTGTACACTAATTAAATTTTTTTTGTGTTTGTAAAAGTATATTAAACTTTAAGTTATTAATTTTAGTAAAGATGTAAGTGTCGAATAAAATGAAGAATAATTATTATTCATTTTTGTAGGTGCATGCAAGAAATCAAATTTAAAAAGTTCATCAGATGATGAAATCACCACTGCAATCGTGAAATGATTAACTAGTGCCAAAGAATGATTGGAAAAAAAAAAAAACATTAAATAATTATTATGAAATGTACTATTAAAATGTATAATTATATTATGTCACCGTATAGTAGTTGTAGTTAATAAAAAAAAATTCCAGACGAATTTCATTCAAAGTTTATAATTGTTGTTCACTTTATTCAATACATATTTTTTAGAACATAATGTTGGGGCATAATTTATTAACTATATACATTTAAGTATTATCTATTCAAGTATATACATATCCATGGGCTTCATGTGTGTTCAGACTTGATCTAATTAATATTCATAGATAATAAATTGCATGTATACTATTATTTATTTAGTATCGGATATTTTTAAAATATCTTCCGCCGGCATTAAATGCCCGAAGTTCAAACGCTAAGGTTATTATTTTAGCCAAAAACGGTTACATAGTACAAAAGTTCATGTTTCAATTTTTCTATTTGTAGTGATTTTTTGTTGGACATTTCAAGGGGCTGAGGACAAACAGTGACAAACAGGCGGGACAACGTTCGCTATAACGACGCGCGAACGGACGCACCGGGCCAAATCACAAACTCCAAACGAGAGGCACAAAGGACATACGGACTCTTTTCTCGGCGCCGAAGATAACAATTTTAACGCATTTTTCGAACCATATCTTCTTCCTATTTATGTACGATTATAACTCGAATACGTTGTTTTATAATAATTTACCGTAACATGTTATGATTTCGTTAATATTTTTATTACCATTACTTCAATAGGTAGGTACGCGCAATCCGCGACGTTAAATAACATTATTGACCGTTCGCCTCCTTGGCCTCTTTAATCACTGAACCCGATCGTTGACACTGTTAATTTTCGTTCGTATCCGATATCCAATTGCAATAATATAATCTATACAATATTTTCATACCCGCCGCAATTCTAAATGCGTTACGAATTATTATTTACGTTCAATCGGTAAATTATTATTATCGTCGGTTTTGTTTTGTTTTGTTTTTGTTTTTTTTTTATTTGATTTATGTTGTCGAACTATGTATAATATTATGTTGTTATATAGATCGGGTCACGAAATTTTCGAAGCTCGTAACAAACGTTCGAAATGACGAAACTAAATTCGAAAAAAAAAAAAATCTTATCTAAACACGAATTCAGCCTGCAGGAAAGTCCTGTACCGGGTGCGATGGTCAATTATTAGCTTAAATATTGAAAGCGAAAAAAATATATGTATATACTATTACCCGAGCGGTTCGTGCGGTTCGGAAGTACAATTTTCTGTAATGCTATTTATTACGCGTATACGTTCGCCTAATAAATGGGTTAATTAATTAATATATTTTTTAGTAAAATAATTAAGTTTTAATGCATTTGCGCGGCAAGGATAATATTCTAAAATTAACATTAATACCATTAAAAATAACAATTATTCTTGCAAAAACAACGTAACGGCCACGCGATCTGATAAACGAGTGCCTATGTAATTTAATTTTAAATTTAAATTTACGGCGCATACTTCTTCTTTTTTTTAAAAAAACAAAAAATACCGTATAACTTTAATAATGTAATTATACTTTTATTGCGGTAATATGAAGGATATAATGAAGGATTTTTATAATTTTTAAAAAAAACTTATTCGAATGTAATATAATGCCTAATATATATATATTTGCTCTTTTTTTCTTAATAAAATTTATCGACTGTGAGATAATACGTATATATATATATGTAAAAAAAAACACTTTGTAATACTTATATCTGTATCGCGTCATAAACATACACTTTTTAAATGCGAATTTAGCCTTGAATTTACGACGACCCCACCTCGAACGTAAAGAAGATTAAATCTAAATGCACTGCAGTTTTTACAGTATAGTTATTGTTATTATTATTACAATTTTTTTTTTTTTTTTTATACTTTCACGTATTTACAAAATTCTATACGATTTCAAAATATTAATTTTTCCGGATCCGATTACCACGAAGACTCCGGTCGCCCACGTACCATACGGGATATCGGGTTAAAAACGTGTGGGTTGTTTTTCGGTCGAAAGCCCATTTCGGGACGGTAAAATGTTTAAAAAGTTTCACGATCTGTACTTAAACCGAGTTTATATAGACAAATATCGTATCATTATTATTATGTTCACCATGGGCGGTATAATATTTTAAATGAGGAGTTCTTTAGAATTGCCTAGTTTTTTTTTATAGAAAACATATAAGGGGAAAAAAATAAATAGAAATGCGACCGAAAGAAAATAATATGCGATAATTAGTAATTTAGTTTTCCAACTGGTAAAACAATAATAAGTAGGTACTATAGGTGTATTTTTAGTGAGTACAAAAAAATACTACACAAACAAGAGAAATGATTCGGTCTCCGATGCGGAGGTAATAATAATCTTTTGCCAAAAAGCGAGAGTACACTTATATAAATTATATAATTATGGTGAAAAAAAGTGAAACGGAGGACAATTTTAATAACATTGCATATTTTATAGAGAAGTACAATAGAATAATAATATTTACTGTTGCGTTAAAATCAAAAATTGTCAAAATTCAACTCTGGTTTTCGTCCGCGTAACTAGGACGAAACGAATTTTTCCCCAGTGGGCCCAGTGTGATGAAGAAAAAAATTAACCATCGACAATTCCATAGATTTTCGTCTCTCGTAGGTGCCTAAAAAATGCTCGGTTCACGAACTCGAATCGAAAAAAGTAATAATTTGATTTGTTATGATGCAAAATCACGCTGAGTAGGTATATGAAAAGGCTAAAATGTTTTCACTGCATCAATGGTAACCACAGGGAAGAACTGTTTGAGTAAAGTAAATATTTTGATATATTTATTTATTTATTTTTTATTCAATGCGTAATTTACGTGTTTTATAATAACAAATATGGTATGAAATAATTAGTAATTTTTGTCGAATAATGAACGATAGTACAAAACAGAGTTCCGTCACTAGAATCGAATCTTATGTTTTATTATAGATATATTTTTTGGGAAATAATAAAAACCAAACACTACGATAATACAATGCTTTACATTAAAAAAAAAAAAAAAAAAATTAAAATTCGATCATACAAATGGTAGAAGTCGATATTGAACATTTATACTGCAAATGTCATGTGTATACAAAAATACAAAATTGCGTCTTCCGACTTAATTTGGGTGGTTTTTAGGGGTATTCGAAGCTTTAAACACGTCCTCCTTGCGGAAAACAACACGGTGAACCAAACTTAGGTTTCAGGGAAGAAGGTCCTCAGGTCGATTTTCGTCATTGTTTTATATAATTCTTTCGCGTGCAATTTTATTTCCCCTCTTACGTTTTGGTCTAATGGCATTATAATGGCCATGTATAACACAATTATAACACAATTATATTATGTTTTACGTAATGCACTTTAAATCAATAGGATGCGCTTTTTGTTCTGGCTTAAAACGCATATTAAGTAATATTATTTATTTAATAGCAATTTAGCTGTACTCAAAACGAATTGAAAACTAAACAAAACTGAATCAAGCCCCCTTCTTTCCTGGGGCATATAAGAAACAGTGGCGTATCCAAAGAGAATGTTTGGGGGTTATGATAACCTCCCCCCCCCCATTGAATCGTGAATTATCATATCACTACGAAAATTAAGACCCAAAGGCATTATTATTTTTTTATTCTAACTGGTTAAAATTATCGGCCAGGTTTGATTGAACCGATTATCGCATGCGCTAAACAGCCAAAGCGACGATTTTCTCTATACCCCAAACGAGTAAAACGTCATTTGTTACAACATAATTTTATCGAGTATGACTTCAGAAGGTTTTTTCCTAAAATATGACATTTAATAATTAAATTACATAATTTTGATGGAAATTAGAATTATTGACGAACGTTGTATTACTAATTTCGATTAACTGGTATACAATATTATCATTACTTTATGGCAAACTCGATGGCAAAGGAATTTAATCATTATTAGTATCATTATCGAAAAGAGTGGATTGCAAACCGAAACCTTCAATAATATTTACACATGTTTATCTGACGATAGCACATTTTCATTGTCTACAGACACTTTGTATGGGTGTACTAGAAACATTCAAATGGAAATATTGTACACCGATTAGCGCTGTTTTATTCTTGATTAATACTGGAAGTGCAAACGATTGAAATGTTTTCTTGACGTCAAATGTGGTTGTTTTGTCTTTTTAAAAACTCAAGTTATAGTATGTACGTACATACAGTAAAATATTTGAAATAATTAACACCACCCCCCCCCTCTCCCTCCTTACACACATCTTAGTTACGCCACTGATTGATAAATACATTATAGTCACGGAGAGCAATCTTCTTGCTTTTTCATTATTATTTATTCGTGTAGACATTCGAAATGTATATTATGTTATTCTCGTGTTTTATGCGTATACATTATACTATATTTTTTATTACACTCGCGTCGCGATTATCGACGGAATAAAAAAAACAAATTGTTTCGATGTTATATTGCACACTTTTAAAACGTTTTCAATACGATTTTATGGGCACACACCATTTATCTTTTCGTCTGTTTTTTTTTTTTTTTTTAACGGGCGTTCAATATAATAATAATAATAATATCACATTATTATACATTATTGTATTCTCTTTTTAGTATAGTCCCCGCTAATCCGTTAATGGATCTTTTCGTTTCGAAAAAAAAAAAAAAAGGTAACCGACAACAGGTTATTATAATAATAATGATTTCCTCATGTACCCCGCGCATAATAATAACGTATACGCAGTACAAACAACTGCAGAAAAGAAGCTTACCGTTACGAATTTCGTATATTTTTTTTTTCTTTTCTTGAATCTATAATAACGAACACATTTCGCCCGTGCGCCGAATCACTTTAAAGTTTAAATATAATTTTTTTTTTTTTTTTTATTAAGAATATATGATTATTGTGAACCTAACGCTGTACGCAATAGAGAAACTATATTCGTTTTCGTGATGGACTTTTCAAACAAAGCGGTACGTCTCTTCGTCGCGGTTATAATATAATGCGTTTAACGGTTATTTTTTTTTTTTTTTTACTATATTATAGGTACTTACTGATTGCAATTATTATTAATTTCGATGATAATTTTCGACGATTTC